ATCCTGAATCTGTGCTCTCCTCTGCTGACTGTGAACACCCCTATTATTTATTATTACCCCCCCAAAAAAAAATTAAAAAGTAAAATAAAAACCCCATGGATTTTTCCTCTGCATTCAAAGCCCAGCTCGACAGACTAGTACCTTGTTAGTCTGCTGAAATCTCATTGGCCATGAGGGGAAAATTTCAAGAGTTGGAGGAGGTCTGCTGGTGAAAAAAGCTGCAAAAATAAACTTCTGCTCAGAAGACCAAATAAGGACTGATACTTTCTTCCCTTTATAACAGAGGAAGAAAAAGGAAAGAAAGGACTAAAGTGCCAGTGTTATTTCAAAAGAGCTTATATTCTTTTCTCTTTTTTTTTCAAGAGGGTTCATAATGGCATGATTTTAAACCAACTCTGATGAGAGAGGATCACACTGTTCAACTCTCCTTGGCTTTATGTGATCACAAAAGGGCAGAGGCTGCCTTGTGAAGACTATTTCAGACTTTTTCCTCATCTTTTTTGGATGAGAGAGAGAGAGAGAGAGCATACACTTCCTGTCCTGATCATCAGTACTCCTAATGCCAACAACTCCTTGCATAAGAGCTTCTTCAAGCTCCTCAAAGTAAGTAGCTCCTTCATGGTCACTGATCAAGCAAGGGAGTAAAAAAAAAAATCCAAAAAATTCATTTCATTGAATAAAAATACATAAGAGATGTAAAAATGAGCATAAAGAAAGCCACTCATGAATGGATAAGGTTCTAATCAAGGAATTTTGTGGGGGGAAAGGTGCAATCCTATTAGAGATTATGGCTATCGTCGCATTGGTTGGTTTTAAATAAAAAATTAGAAAAAAGTTGAAAGTATGATGAAACGGATAAAATTGAATCTAAACGAGACCTATTGAAAACTTAGAGAATTATTATTGGAAGTTGGAATTGGAGGAATAAACTGATGATAGCACCCATTAAAGACAGAAATTCAGTGCAATATTGTTTACGGAAAAGGTAGAAAAACAGAAGAATTGAGGTTATATACACCATCAGTTTATTACCCCAATAGAACACAAACATACATGATGCTATACACACTAGCTTAATTATATACGATATCAGAGCAAGATATGTGTAATTCAATCAAACGTTCAGCGAAAAGCTAACAAATTAATACGAAATATAAGGAAGAAACAGTACAAGAAATTGGCAGCGGGCTGAGCTGAAGGCCCAGAATCCGAAAGCTCAATTTCACCAAGCTTGTGATGATTTGCTGCCATCCAAGAGTTCTCTCCTCTAAGCATTTTTGACTTCAATTTCACCCTTTATTCAAAGGTCCTCTGCATGTTAACTATCAACACAAATTCTCTTCTGACTCTCCATCAAGCTTTCTCCTCTGCGCCCACAAATTAAAAGACATTAACGTAGATAAACCCCCTGAGGAAAACCATCCATCAAAATAGAAAACAAGAAATTAAGAAAATTACCGTAGTAGCTAAGTTGAGCTTTCTTCACAAGTATGAGCAGGAGAAGCGAGTACTCCACTTTTTATGTATATATATATAAGCTCGCTAGCTGAATAAATACACTTGGATTTTTTTTCCCCTCTCACTAGCTTCTCTCTCCACTTTTGCTTCTTCTGATAGTTTGAGCTCTTGCCACCCTCTGTTCTGTAATAATCTCACCCCTGAAGTTTATCCAAGGTACACACAAGATCTTGTCCTAGTAGGACTTTGCCCAAAAAGTAGTGAGAGAGAGAGAGAGATATGTAAATAAAATAAAATAAAATAAAATAAAAGAATCACTGACTCCTACTCCACTCTTTGTAACCGACCGTGCCTTCTTATTGGCTCTTTCTTTTTAACTCTTCAGAGAGTATAAAAGCACTACTCAACAAAACAGGCATTCATTCAATAGGAGGCACACAAGCCCCCCTCCTCATAATAACAAAAAGGAAAAAAAAAAAAAAACAAAAAGAAGCCAAGAAATGGATTTGTCATAATCCTTTACTCTGCTTTTTTTCGCTTGGTGAAGTTGTGGATTAGATTGAGTCTTGTTTGACAACTCAGGCTCTTAATCCATTTCATAAACTTACATATACAATCATATCATGTTGCGAACTTTCACCATCTCAACCGAAACATGTCAACTTTACATCAGTACTAATTTATTAAGCTTAATTAAGCCCTCATGAAAGTTTATTCCTTTGCTGAAGGGTCAACATCTAACCTTGCCGAGCACCTAAAATTATCATTCCTTCTTTTAAACAGATGTTAAATACTTACATGATTCAGATTCCCTCCGCTGCACCTAGGCATCAAGCATACCACTTCCTCAATCATAACCATTCATCTCGATCTTCAGCGCGCGAGAAGTAGAAATATACGCTTCGCGTGTAAATATTATTAGATTTGTACATTAGGGTTCTACGTTGATCATTTTACTAATTTAGGGCTAACCAAATTGCTATCCGGGGTTATCCGCTTAATTATCTGTTTGTTAGTTGTTGTGTATGCGTCTCTTGTAAATGACAAGGGTCCTCTCATTGGAAGAGATGGATGCTAATTAAATAATTTTTATGCCTGCAACTTTCATAGCTGATATATGGCTTCACCAATTATTCCTTTTGAGTACCAATCATTGGCCTTAAAAAAAAAGGGTTGGCCCATCTATCAAAATGCCTTGGATGATTAGGTGATCTGTAGTTTGGGATGATTACCTAATTTCGTTTATTTTATGATTCATGATGCGAAGAACATAACCATGCATGCCTTTAATTTGGAGGACTGATAGTGTATATAAAGCAGTTCTCAGATTTAATTTTAATGCAAAGATTATTAATTTAGGGGCTTTAATGTTGGGAATTTAACGCCTAAATCCCCTTTTGCAACAGAAACGCAGAATAGAGAACAATACACCAAGTTTTAACGAGGTTCGGCAACTGCCTACGTCCTCGGGAGCCACACAGTCTATTTCTTATTAATCAAACAAGAAATTACAATTGAAGAGCAAATCTCTAAACTGAGATTTCTCAAATGAACACTGTAGCAACAGTGTTAATATGTAAAGGGAATAAACCCTTTTAATTCTTACTTGAGAATAAATGAATAACCTCCACAATATAAAACCCCAAATTAATTCCTCTCTCTCTCTTCTTAAATCTCCTCAACCACTGTTGGGATTTAATCAAAATCGCAGCAGCGATTTTAAGGCAGACGCCAGAGAGAAAAATCGGAGGAAGGGGGGGGNACTTGAATCTGACTTGTTCTAAATCGTTTCACGCTCTGATACCAGTTGTTGGGAATTTAACGCCTAAATCCCCTTTTGCAACAGAAACGCAGAATAGAGAACAATACACCAAGTTTTAACGAGGTTCGGCAACTGCCTACGTCCTCGGGAGCCACACAGTCTATTTCTTATTAATCAAACAAGAAATTACAATTGAAGAGCAAATCTCTAAACTGAGATTTCTCAAATGAACACTGTAGCAACAGTGTTAATATGTAAAGGGAATAAACCCTTTTAATTCTTACTTGAGAATAAATGAATAACCTCCACAATATAAAACCCCAAATTAATTCCTCTCTCTCTCTTCTTAAATCTCCTCAACCACTGTTGGGATTTAATCAAAATCGCAGCAGCGATTTTAAGGCAGACGCCAGAGAGAAAAATCGGAGGAAGGGGGGGGGGGGAATCAGCGGCGACAAAACCCTAGGGATCGGGGTTCTTTGATAACCAAAAGTTGACAGGCTGGCGACAGCCTGTCGCCAGCGGTTCCGTCGCGGCTCGAGAGTGGAGCTCCGGACGCGGACGTCGGAGCGCTTGAAACGCGGAGGTCGGAGTGCTGTAACGCGAGGGTCGAGAGTTCGCCGAGGGTCGCGTCTTCCGAGGGTCGCGTCTTCGTCGTGGCCGAGGATCGCGTTTGCCACGCTTTGGACCTCGAGCTCGCCTGCATCGTCTTCGAGCTCGTCGGAGCTTCGCCGGAGCTCCTCGCCGCAATTGAGGTGAGTTTGGTCTACACCCAAACTAACATTTAATAATTAAGGTCGACTTATATAATTAGCAGAGAATATCACTTAAAATTGCACATTTATTTGAATGGGAGCATGTTTGGTGCATTGATCTTTGTCAATTCAGAAATTTCACCTTATAAGTTTTTTTCAACCTTCAAAATAAAGAAGGACGTTTCTGTCTTTTTCAGAGCAGATCTTCCGAGTGTAATTGAATATTAAATGAGGTAATTATACTAGAATATAATTCTTTTCAAAGTTTGAAATGCATAATACATGTATACAAAAAGCTTTTCCTTGAGTCGTTATGATTAATACAAGTAGTTAAATTGGATAAATATACAAAGTTTTGCCTATGGATAAGAAAACAGTTGATGTGTTGCGTCTCTGTTCATGATTGCCTCCTGAGTTAATGATGGGGGAAAAAAGATTTTTTTTGCTATTTCTACAGTAGCATGCATGCATCCAAAGAGACAAAAAAGATAGGTACATGAGAGGAGGTAACCTCTTGATATGTCCCCTCAATAAGTACAGTGTCCCTAAGCCTACTAACATAAGGCACTGCTAGCTAATTCCCTTGCTGTTTCTTAGCCCCATGTGATTGTAACTATTTAATCATAATTAGGCTAATCATATTGCCTTTATGGATCCTTATTCTAATCCACCGTGACCACCTAATTAATATACTTCAAGCCTCTTAATATAAAGCTCTGGCAAAGATATCAGATAATCCTGCATGACTTTCAAAATATCAGTAAACCCCCACCTTAAGTTTAGTTAATATTATTAGAAAAACCCTTTTAACTTTGAGAATTATTTTTTTTAAGAAATCATGTACTTATACTTCCTCCCTTTAAAAGCATGAGTTCGGGAAAAAAATTTCTTAGTCAATATTACCCTTCATTTTTTAAAATATTCTATTTAAATCTTAATCTATCATAATCATAATTATATATTATCTTAATCCCATTTGAATTATTATAGCTCAATAATTAAAAAAAATATCTTTCTTAGTTTTTTAAATATTTTATTTAAATATTAATCTATTATAATCATAATTATATCCTATCTTAATCTCATGTGAATTACCTATAACTCGATAATTTTAAAAAATAAGATTAATAAGTTATATGAGATATTACAACAATAACCAAAAAAACTAAAAAGTTTTAAAAATTGCACAAAATACTCTTAAATATTCAAAATTACACAAAATACTATCACATATCAAAACTTGAAATAACAAACATAAAATTTGAAAATTAACAGTATCCTCTGAAGAATTTAAAATTTGTAATTAACACCCTTAACATTTCAAAAATTATTAAAACATCCTCAAAAGTTTAAATTACAAAAAAACACCCTCAGAACTTGTAAATAACATAGATGAATTTTAGGGATTAGCATCACACTTGAACATAGATCCCCCTTTCCCCATCATGAAAAGCTCTTTTTCATATCAATTAAAACTTAGGGATGATAGAGAAAGATAATATCATGTAAACACCAATGAGTTTAGACGATAATAAAAAGGTAAAGAAATAATAAGTAGCTAACATACTATGAGGGTGTTTGGGGCAGCTTATTTTTTGGTCAAACTAACTTTTAAGCTAGGTTTTTATTTTTACATGTTTGGTAAAATACAAAATAAATTAGCTTATAAGTCACATTTTAAAAAGCTGGTATACCCCAGCTTTTATAAAACTAACTTATAAGTTAGCTTTTAAAATAAGCTAAGTTTGACCAAACAAATTACTACACTGTCTACACAATTTTTGTAATATTTTTATCATAAAAACTAAAAGCTAGCATAACTTATAAGCATAAAAAAATAAGTCTTCCCAAACACCCTCTATAATACATGAATTATTGTCAAAAACCTAAAAAGTTTAAAAATTACAAAAAACACCATAAATAGTTCAAAATTACACAAAACATCATAACTTTCAAAACTTAAACTAACAAGCATAAAATCTGGTAACACCCTCAAAGTTTTAAAAATTGTAGAAACACCCTTAAAAATTTAAAATTACAAAAATCCACCATGAATTTGAAAAATATATTTATAGATTAAAAATTAATATCATTATCTAAATAAAAGTAATTGCATATAATTTTACTCATAAGTTGGAGTATCAAAAATACAGAGGTAACATTAATTGATAGAACACTACTGGAAACAGGACTTTTAGCGACGGACAAATCCATCGCTAAAAGTCAAAAATCCGTCGCTAAAACTTTTAGCGACGGAAAAAAACAAATTCTGTCGCCAAAATATGGTCCCTACATTAAGGGTAGCTAAAATCACTTTTAGTGACGGATTTTCCGTCGCTAAAATTCAACGACGGGATATTAGCGACGGTCTTTTCGTCACCGTATTTTTTTAAAAAAAATAAAAAAATATTAGCGACGGAATTTCCGTCGCTAATATAGCTTTTAGCGATGAAGTTTTCGTCGCTAAAGGTGGTATTTATTATTAAAATTCCGTTGCTAAATATATATTTAGCGACGGAAAATCCGTCGCTAAAACCCCTGTACAATATCGATAATAATTTTAAAAACTCTGTTCAATCAGTAGTATATTCAATCCCACGCATATATCACACATATATTTCAATAAAAATAAATAAAAGTTTCTCGACACGTACATAATAAATATTGTTTATACAACACAAGACATTGTTTTTAAAGTTAAATTAATTACAATCAATCCTCCTGATTATCATCATCATCCTCAACACCAGTTGCATTATGACTACCCCCGACTGCAA